TCTGGCCCCGGCCTCGCTCCGCGGCCCTGGGCGGCCTGGAGGGGCCGCGCTGCCCCCCCGGGCTCGCGTCCGTAACCGCTTCTTTGCGCGCTTCTCGCAGGCTCGCGGACCCAAGAAGCACCTGAAGCGCGTGGCGGCGCCGAAGCACTGGATGCTGGACAAGCTGACGGGGGTTTTTGTAAGTTCGCCCTTTGGGGGGTCCTCGGGTGGGGTCGCCGCGCGCGGACGCGTTCGGAGCGCCGGGAGGGGAGCCGCGAAGGAGCGCTCGTGACGGGCAGCCTCCTCGAAGCCGCGGCTCTGGCGCGTTCCCGTGAAAACGGCGCAGGGGCGCGGCGGAAATCTGCCTCCGTAGCGTTTGGTTCTTCTCACCGAGGGCTCTCCGCGGTTGCTCTTGCGAGCATCCCCGCCTTGATCCCTTTCCCGCGCGCTGAAGGAGGGGGGCCTGCGGATCTCCGTCGTTTTTTGTGTCAGAGTGCAGCAGCCCCCCCCTCCCCCCAGTTCATAGAACACGCCAGCGGACAGAAGGAGCCGTGGCGTGTTGCGGTTTTCTTTAGGGGTGGAAACGGACCGGGCAGAGCGGTTGTAGATGCGCAGTTGCTGGTGGGACGGAGAAGCCCGGCTCGGAAGGGCCTGGTGGGACCGCAGGCGTCTGAATGCTTTGACGCCCGAAGCCTCGACCGCCGTCCTCTGGTCTTAAGCGGGAGAGCCAGTACGGGCTAGGCGTAGGAGTGCCCGCCACTGGGTTCCAGTCCGGTGGGGAAGTGAACTGAACGATGTTGGCCCAGCCCTGCACGCTCAGCCTCGTGCGCGTCTCCTGGGCAAGGGGATAAAATGTCGAGCAGTGCAGGCAGATCCACGGATGAACATTGTCTCGGACATCTTGGGGTAAAAGTCAGGCTATGATTGAACTACGTAAATTGTCGGTTCATTCCAGCTTTACGTCATCCCTGCTTTCTCAAAGTGGCCGTGCTGAAATATCGTGGCTCGTGTGTGACTTCCACTGTCTTTGGATTTACAGGCACCCCGTCCATCGACAGGACCCCACAAACTGAGGGAATGTCTCCCGCTTATCATCTTTCTCAGGAATAGGCTTAAATACGCCCTGACTGGCGACGAGGTGAAGAAAATCTGCATGCAGCGGTTTATCAAGATCGACGGCAAAGTCCGCACAGACATTACTTACCCGGCTGGCTTCATGGGTTAGTGAACATTCGTGGGCAAGTTTGGAGGGGAACCTATAGATTGGAAGAGGGAGAAATAACCTTTGTTACTTCCTTAAGATTTCTGCCCATCTAGGGAATATAATTTTGCAGTATTAATTCTAATAAAATGCCCTACCCCCAGGCTGGGGGTGGTGGGCTCAGTCATTTAGTCTGAGCCCCACTTTCCCAGCCTGGATATCCTCAGTTGTTGGATCTCAACTTCTGTAAACACCAGGCTGGTTTCTGGGAACGTGGTTATCGGAACTGACCCACCCCAGCTCAGTTATGGAGTTGCCTTCACTGCTTCCAATTTTCCCAGATGGCCCCTACCTTGCTTCGGGCTCTTTCTCTGGAAAGTTTCCCATAAGCCCTTTTGTCTTTCAGGCGTGCTAGGTTTCACTCTTCAGATCTCAGGAGAGTCAAACGTAGCATGCCTCGAAAGGCAAAGTCACGCGGTACCAAAGCCGTGTGTGTGGTTTCCTTTCTTTCTGAAGCTAGGGAAGTGCCTCACAACATCTGTTTTTGGCTGATTCCCTGACTGGTGCATTCTTCTTCTCAGATGTGATCAGCATTGAGAAAACAGGTGAGCACTTCCGCCTCGTGTACGATACCAAGGGACGCTTTGCTGTTCACCGCATCACACCAGAAGAGGCAAAGGTAAGCTTGCTGCCAATGACGTTCTTTGACCGTGAAACTCAGTAAAAGATGATCAGGACAAACGGGCTCTGAAACTGGAACGCTGTTGTGTCTGAACGTTTGTTTGTTTGGTCTGTTGCCTTCTGCCAGGCTGAATAGACTGTTGTTGCCTTATTTAAGACCTGCTTTTGGATGCCTGAAGGCGGTGACTAAAACTGGGCTCTGAAATCTCTGGGGATCAGATGGGTGGGGGAAATTCCTTCATGCATTTCCTGGAATGCATCTTGACAGTTTTTTGCTCTGAATGCTGAGGGGATCTGGGGTGCTCCTTTTCCCTGAAGATCCCAGGACATACCCTGTCTTCAGAAATGTTTTTTTCAGGGTAGGCCTCAGATCTTGGGTGATGCTGAGGTCTGTTGTGGTTCTTCCCAGCTGATGTAATTTGGGGGTTTGTGATAGTACAGTCAGATCTGATGGAAACCTTGTTACTTGGCCCTGCTCCCAAGCCCAAAGGCAGGGGAAAGTGGTCAAACATCTGGTGGCTCCAGGTCACCTCCCCTGCTCTAGGACCATAAGATAAGCAGCAGGTCTACTTCGTGGCCACCAAGTCAACAGTAGGGGAAGACTGTCAGCTGTCCTTTAGCTGCGTAGTAATGCCAGAAGCCTAGCCTCATGAAGGATTCCTGGCTCAAATAATTCTCTCTGTTGTTTGTCTTCCCAGTACAAGCTGTGTAAGGTTAGAAAGATCTTTGTGGGCACCAAAGGAATCCCCCACCTTGTCACTCATGATGCCCGAACAATCCGGTACCCAGATCCCCTCATCAAAGTGAACGACACTATCCAGATTGATTTGGAGACAGGCAAGATTACAGATTTCATCAAGTTTGACACAGGTTTGTTGTTAAGTGACTTAAGAGCGGGGCGGTCAGACTATCCCCTGAGGATCTGTTTTCAGGGATTGTAATTTATGTCTTGAAATGTCTGCCATGGGGAGTGAAGCATCTGTTCTTTAGAGCAAAAAGCAGCTTTAGCAGAACGGGGGCTGTGTTCCTGAAAGCCGTGCTGGGGCTGAGGGCTGGCCTTTGATTAGGGAACTGGGACAACTCTGTGCAGCCTCTTACTCCTTCGTTTCCCTCTGCAGGCAACTTGTGCATGGTGACCGGAGGGGCTAACTTGGGTCGTATTGGTGTGATCACCAACCGGGAGAGGCATCCTGGCTCATTTGATGTGGTTCACGTTAAGGATGCCAACGGCAATAGCTTTGCCACCAGACTGTCTAACATCTTTGTGATTGGCAAGGTAAGCCACTGGCAGCAGTGTGGCTGCGCATGGTGGGGAGCTGAAGGGCCATTCTGTCACCCCCCCCACGGGCTGCTGATCAGCAGTGGCACATTCCAAGAAGAGCTGTTATCAGCCATCCTGACTTGTGGGGGAGGGCACGAATCTGCCATCCTCGTACCCTCGGTGAGCAGCTGTGCTTTAGGTGTCTGCTTGCCAAGAGGGAAGTTGTGCAAAGGGATACGTTCCTTACTTTATTGAACTCTTAATAAAACAGAGTTCAGAAATCGTAAAATTATACAGTGTAGCATTGGAAATGGAAGCCTCAGTATCCTGAATACCTTGAGGAAAGATTGCTTGAAGCTTTCTGCAGTAAAAAAGAGAACTGCATTTAAAAAAAAAATTATTGGGGCATGGGTTTTCACAGATGGGAGCGCTAACGACAAACGTGATTAGGCATATAACTTCTTCCTAGGGCCAGACCTTGAATTAGTTTCAGTCCATCTGGCGAGAGTTGTCAATTTGATTTTCTTGCAACGTTGTCCTAACATGGACTTCCTTCTTAACACTATAAAAGTCTCCCTGTAAATTGAGTAACTATCAATAATTTGCTTTCTTGATCTGTTAGATTGGATCCCCCGAATTCAGATTCTACTTGTTTGTTAAGGATGCACAAAGCTTATCTGTCAGAACCTCGCAATTAACTACGTTGATTACCATTACCATTCTGGGGACCGCTGAAATACTCAATTTTTCTTCTGAACTGTGCTGATTTGGCCATTCTGGGGGTGGTCCAATAGGGTTCCAGAGATAAATCTTGCAGAACCGGAAGCAGTTCGTGGAGTTCTGGAATATCTAGAATACCATCAATTTCTGGGCCAAAAGCTGCTTCTGGAAAACTGCTGACCACCTCTAGAGCAGCCAGATCAGTATGGTCTGGAAGAAAAATTGGATGTTTTGGTTCTGGTGTTTCCAGCAATGGCAGAGCAGTGTATATTCCCCTAATGTGTCTCCCTTTACTACTTCAGGGTAACAAGCCGTGGATCTCCCTGCCTCGTGGAAAGGGAATCCGTCTCACTATTGCTGAAGAGAGAGACAAGAGGCTAGCAGCTAAACAGAGCAGTGGTTGAGCCCCCAACGTGCTAGTGCAAAGCCCAATCCAGAATGATTTCCGGTTTCATAAATAAAACCTTTTACAAACTTCACTCTGGGCTTTTCTTACCATGTCTGGCCTTGGCCCTCCTAAAGCACTCGTGTTTTCTGTGGTGGAGAATGTGGCATGGCTGGGGGGGAAGGGTATTTCCCGAGGCTTAAGTCCCCAGGGCTGCTTGAACACCAGCTATGCCTTCTGCTGTCCCACTGAGGGTGAGTCAGTTTCTCTTGGAGTAGTTAGTGGCCAATTCTGGCAGAGGCGAGTTTGCAGTCAAATGTTTCTGGCTATAGGTGGGAGGTACCCCGTCTTCTAGGCGGACTTTTTGTTCCCTGCACCCACAAGAAGGAGAGGACTGTAAGCAATCATCAATAGGGCCTTGTAACCGACCTGGCCTTTTTAATCTGTTTTTCACCTTCATGAAAGAAACAGCCGGACACGTGAGGAGGCTAGGTCTGTAGCTTTTATGAACGTGTGTTGGTATGTGTGTGATGGGAATATTTCAAAATCACTGGAGGAGGAGGAAAAGGAGGCACTTACTAAAGAAGATTGCAGTGGGTCACAGTGATTTTATCCTTAGCAAGTCTTACACATTTACTGGGTCAGCTCTTTGTGGCAGTCTGGTGAGGCAGGTTCTTTATAAAATCTCTTTACAAAAAGGATCTTGGTTCAGGCTGCACAAGGATTTGAATCTGGTCCCAGCCCTAGCGCTTTGTGAGAATAGGTAAGGGACTTGTTCTGCGTTGCGAAGGCCTCTTCTCACTGAGACCTTGGGGGCTGCAGAGGATTGCTTGGGCAGGCTGGCCAGAATATCCCGCTTTAACTGATTTCCAGGGTTAGCAGGGCCAGCCACAGCCCCTTACATTCGCTTTGGGTTGCATCTGGCGTTCCCCTCACCATGTTTCAGGTTCAGTTGTTGCAGCAAGTGGCAAACCTCTGCGTGCTCAGAGTCTTCTGAACATGATAGGTGCTCCGAGTCCTTGGAGGTGAAACTGCTGGAGTCGCTTCCACCAAAGTCACCTGAAACAGCAGCATAATTAGTGTTACATTCTTGATTTGTGATGGGCGGTTAAGTGCCCTACCTGAAGCCTCACAGGGATGGGTGGGACCAAACGCTTCCCTGTGGCCATCTGTTATGTGTGTGCGCATCTGGATCAGAAGAGCACCAGCGTGTGAGTTTCAGTGTTCCCTAGAGAAGCCTGTGGAAAAGTAGGACATGTTGAAGCAAGCAGTGGCGACCTGGACCAGAGAAGGATGGAATAGTTTGAAGCAGAAGGCCAAATTGAGGAAAGGAGCTGAAAAAGATTGTGACAGTAACAACAAATAGTGGGGACAAATAAGGTTCTCTTGGGCGACTGGACGTCTGAGTTTTGCAGCAAAGTGCCATCCAGTGGCTCTTGCAGCCCAGATCTGGGGGTCTTGTAAATGAATCCCGGCAAGCTAAGCCAAAATGTGGCATGCTAGCTGGTGGTCTGGCACTCGCTGACCTTGGCTGATACTGAACAGTTAATCTGAGTCAGATCCGGTTAGTCCTTGGTGAGAGTCCCCCGCAGTTGCAGGCTGGACTAAGAAGTCCAAGCGTGCCCCAGAAGAAACAGCAAGGCGCTTCCATGCTGTTGCCAAGGGGAGCTGGAGTGTCCCAATTGCCAGCAGGGGCGCAGCTTCTCAGAGGCCTCCCCTGGGCAGGCCACGCGAGCGGAGCTGACGTGAGCCGCAGAAGCTGTGGGACGCAACGGCCTTACCGATGCGCTTCTGCGAGCTCCCGAGAGCTGGAGAGGACCTGTTCTCTTGCATGGCCCATTCAAGGTTGTCCACTGCTTCTGCCAGGGCTGCCTCCTCTGAGTCCTCAAAGTCACCGGGGTCCCAGTTTTCCTCAGAAGCTGTGGGGAGGAAAGGGAAGCTGGTTAGGGTTCCTTAGCACAGGAAGCTGAGCTTGCAATACCGGGCAGGTCCTTCATTTCCAGCCCTGGGACGCTGGCTCTCCCCAAGACTCAGGCCCGGCCTGCCGCCTTGCAGGGCTGAAAGAGCAAAGTGAGACAGGTGCGCGCGAGTTCCTTGGGAGCCTGACCCCATCCCTCTCCTCTGGCGGGAAGGCTTGATCTGGTACGGAGGGCCGCCGCTTGCCCTCTGCATCGAGGGGGTGATGGAGTGGGCCGGTAAGCCCCAAGAGGGCGTGGGGCGGGGGCGAGGAATCTGCAGAGCCTGGAGGGGAAGGAGGATGTCCCGGGCACGTGGCTCTGGGCTCGCCCGCCCGCTCGATAGGAAACGCCTTCTCAAAGGTGCCAAAGAGCAGCTACTGGCCTCGCGCATTATGGGCATGCTGGCCGGGGCTGATGGGCTTTCTAGCCTCACTGTTTATTCCAGACAGCAGTGCTAAACTGCCAAATTCACAGTAGGTTCTCCACGGATCTTCCCCACATGATGGCCTTTCAGGCCCACAGCAACAGAGGGCAGGCAGCAAAGCCCTGCTCGTTGGCTTGTGCACACACACTCCTTACTAGATGTTGGAGGAGGAGACCTGGGTTAGTCTAGGGTGGCAAAGTCAGGAATCTGAGCACCTGGTTATTTCATGAATTTATATGCCTCCCATCTCACTCTCAGTTAAAGGGTTATTTTAAAGTTATTTTGTTAAAAGGGAGCAGCTCTCATGAGCTTGCGTCTGATGAAATCGGCTTACAAGATTCGGTCGCCATCTCTGTGGCATCGGTGTGGACAGGTAGATCTTCATCTGAGCTGCTGCTGACGGAAGAAGCACTTGTGACTTCAAAGTCTGCCGAGTACTGTGAGCCGCTGCTGCTGCTGCAGACGCTCGGGCTGTCCTCGAGGTCCCAGCACGGCTGTAGAGAGGGAAGCCAGGCAGGGCCCGGTGCCCCAGCTTCACCGCTGGGGGAGTCCAGGGCGCCGTCTGGGACTGCCTCGGACAGACGGCGCTTAACCCCCTCTCGTTCGGGAAAGGTTTCCGGCTGCAGCTGGCAGGGAAGCCGAGGGTCCCGGTGGAGGAAGTAAAGGCTGAGATGCTGCTGCACGTACGGGAGGGCGAGGATGGTGCTGGCGCTGGGCCGCGCTTCAGGGTCCTTTTGCAAGATGGTTTGGATCAAGCCATGCAGGGGGGCTGGGTAGCAGGCAGGGACGGGACTGGGGCTGCAGTTCACAATCTTGTGGAACAAGCTGATCAGGCTGAACGCTTGGAAGGGCGGCTGGAGGGCACACATCTCAAAAAGGACGCAGCCCAGGGCCCAGATGTCTGCCTTGGAGCTGTAGGGCAGGTCCCTGCAGAGCTCAGGGCTGAGGTAGTAGGGCGTGCCCACAAAGGTGCTGGCCAGCTCCAGGGTGCCGTCCATCACCTTTGAGATGCCAAAGTCCCCCAGCTTGAGAATCCACGTCTGAGTGAGGAAGACGTTGGACGCTTTGATGTCCCGGTGCAAGATTTTCAGGGTGTGGATGTATCGCACCGCCATGGCCAGCTGCACAAACCACTGCATGATGACGCTCTCAGGGAAGGGCCCCCCTTTCCGGATGTGCTGGTCAAGGGAGCCCCCATCACAATACTCTTGCACGATGAAAACATGCGCCTCCTCAGTGTCCAAGAAGTGGTCGTGGCAGGCGACCACGTGGGGGTGCTGGAGCTGCCGCAGGATGGCCACTTCCCGCAGGATGGCCTCTTTGCTCCGCAGCCTCTTCCCAGGGACCGTCCTGACCTTCTTCACGGCAAACAGCTGCTTTGTCCTCGCGTTCCTCATCAGGAAGACTTCGGCGCTGGAGCCCTGGCCGATGCTGAAGATGGGCTCATACTGCTCCATGCTGCCTGGAAGAGGCCCCTCTGCCCGTTACCACAGGGAGCGGCCTCCCCGCTGGCACACCCCTCCCTTTGCCCATGGCCAGAGGGAGAGGGGGGCCAGGAGGAGGGGATGCTCAGCCACCAGCCCGGCTTGGCCTCCAAGGGCAAGGCTGGGCAGTCAGGCCCTGGAGTGGCAGGGGAGACCGCATCATAAGAACGACTATGACACCGGCCACCTCCGGCTGCTCTCAGCTGAAAGGCCAGGGATGGGGCCAAGTCAAGGGGCCGTGGGGGGAGGGCGGAGGGCTCCAGCACGGCCCTCCTGAACCTTTCTCTGGAGCCGCCAAGCCCAACTCCCTTCCCACAAGTCCCGGAGCAAGTTAAGCCCCTTCTGATGTGTCGATGATGGATGCCAGTGGCCCTGGGCGGAAGCGGCATGTTTGTGGGTCAAAGGCGTCGAGCAACTGCCTGCCGTGGCACGGCCTTCCCCTGCATCCCCCAAAGGGCACAGACATACCCCGGCAGCTTTTTCCCTGCCGCACCCCTGACGGGGGCATCACCTCCTCCCCAGCCCTCATCAAGAAGGTGGGGTCTCCACAGCCGTTCTGCTGCCAAAGTTGGGTGTTTGGCTTTGGCACCCGTTGTTGTCCAGGCAGCCAGGAGCCCAAGCAGGACAGGAATCTGAATGGGGATAGCTGGCTTTGGGCCACCACTGCCGCCCTCTTGTGGCACAAGGCCGAGGAGACAGTCTTCAGCTCAGCGGTGGGGGAAGCCTCCGGCAGCTTTCCGGCAGGAAGGTCACGCTGAATGACGCGGAATGCCCGTCCTCCTGATCGGGGCCAATTCCCTGCTACCCCAGGGATGATGGCCCTGCTGGCCAGGGGAGCCTCCTGCACGGGCACGGTGGCAGGCGGCTCCCCCCACCCTGGCCTTGCACTCAGAGCCAGGGCGCTGGGATCTTGGGGAAAGGGGCGCCGCTGTCTGCTCGCCACACGAGGGAACTCTTTCCCTACAAACTGGGCTGCAGCCCAACAGGGCGGGTTTCGGGTGCTCCCTGGGGTTTTTCCCGCAAGGAGCCAGGGTACATTCTGTTCACTCCCAGCCTGGCCTGCAGACTCAGGAAGGTAGCTGAGCTGCTGGGAGAGTTCCCAGCTGGCCGGAGGCCCCCGAAAGCTGGCGGGAAGCTCCATTTCCTGCGCTCAGTGGCATCTTCAGAAAAGGCTCGGCCTTCTCCCTGAGCAAGAGAGTGCTTGGCAGTGGAAAGACAGAGCCGGCGGGATTATTTCACAGCTGGGGCTGGCGCAGGGGCTCTGTTGCTCTTCGGGCTCCAAGACCTCCTGCAGAAGTACCTGCAACGGAGCAGCTTTTTCAGGGATGGCGAGGGCCCCCAAGCCAGCCACCTGCCTTTGGCTGATGAGAGAGAGAGAGAGAGAGAAAGATGGATGGATGGTTGGATGGATGGATGGATGGATGGATGGATGGATGGATGGATGGATGGATGGATGGATCGATTGATCGAACACCCATCTGGCATGAACAGAGCTGATGCCTTTGTGAGAGAGACCGTGCCGGGTTTTGGGTGCTGGGCACCAAGGCTGCGCCTTCAGCCAAACAAGCTCTCTCTGGTAAGAAGCTGCTGGTCATGTCAAGTATACGTGGGGAAGGGGCTTGGGGGGGAACCGTTTTGGCAGTTCGGAGCACCCTCTGGCCCAAAGGGTTTCCATTAAAAGTCAGGGAGTCAGGTGGTCTCTGGACCACCCCTGAGAAGCGGAGACAATCCTTCCTGGAGTGTCCAAAGGGGGCACAGGCCCTTCCCCACAAGTGCTGAAATGTGGGCAGTTGCTCCTCCAATGCAGCACAGGCCGCAGGAGGGCCAGTGGCTCATCTCTTAGCTCTTCCCTGCAGCATGCAAGCGGGCAAGAGAAGGGCTCTGCATCCGCTGTGGGGCAGAAGTGGGCAGACTGCCTGTCCGGGGCAGCTCTTGACTCGCATGGAAGGACCTCAGGCCCCTTGGTCCCTTCACCCTCATGGGGCTGAAGCTTTGCATGGCACGTCCGGGGCTGTTGGAGTTTTAGGGGTGAAACGGATGCCTTTAGCCTCAGCAAGGCTCGGGGCTCCCCAGCCCTTCTGCCCCCTATCTCCCCCCAAGTGCAAAGAAGGACCCATCTGTTCTGAGGTGACTTTGGAGCCATAAAAGGGATGCTGGTGCAGGCCAATGGCGCACCTTTTGCACCTCCCTAGAGACGGGAGCGTAAAGCAGGGACACGGTATCTGCACCCAGTTGCGTGGCCTCCAGGAAGGGGCTCAGTCCTGAGGCGGAGGGGGACCCCATTTCGCCTTCCCTGGAGAGAGGCTGCAGTCCAGAAACAGGTTCTCCCCCCAGACCCACGTCCATCTACAGTAGATGGAAACCTGCAGCTTCCTGCGCGGAGCCGTCTTGCCCACTGCATCGCCAGCCTTCTGGTGGTCTTCAAGGGGGCCATTGGACTGTTCACACCGATCTGGTTAAAAAGTAACCTTGATTTTGAGCACAGCCAGGAAAGGTCGGTCAGGCTGTCAATACGCTGGTCTGAAAGGGGCTATGACACAACTCCCAGCTTTCCAGTGTTAATTTGGGTGGCTTGTCTTTGTCGTGACCATCCCAAGACAGGCTTAAAGGGCTGTGACCAAACGGTGCTGTTTGGCTCCGTGGCTTGTTTGGGCACAGAGGACAAGCTTTCCTCTCATTCCAGATGTAGGGCACGAAACCACTTCCTGCAGAAGGGGCTCCATGGCACAGATGGGCATCTCTGGGTTGGAGTTTGGTGTTTTGGGGCACCGGAACAGCCCAGAGCCACCTGCCTGGGCGGCCTTTCCTCCACGCTCGGCCACTTTCCCTGCTCCAGTACCTGGGGGCTCCCCAAGGCCTCAGGGAGCGCAGAGGGGCCTGGCCTGAACTGACGTCAGGGAGAGCAGAAATGGAGGAAGCGGCGGGCGGGCGGG